GTTACTTTTGAAAACTATTTTGAAAAACCATTTTAAAAACTTTTATAGTTCCTTAGTTTGAGTCTGAATTCACAAGAATACTCATCCAATTCTCTCAAACCAAGGCTCTGGTACCAACTTGTAACAACCCAAGACTCATAAAAATTTAAAACTTTTAAAAACAACTATAAACCATTATTGTTTACAAAAGAACCATTGATTCAGAAGTATTATTCAAAATCAGAGCTTTCCCAAGACCCAACAACACAAAAACAAGAAGATGTGCACGATCACGCCTTCGCTTTTCTGCAATCATCAAAAGTACCTGAAACAATAAATTGAAATTGTAAGCCAAAGCTTAGTGGTTTCCCCCAAAGTACCATCACACAACATATAAATTACATAGATTCGCATGTTGGGTCCACAACCTCCACACTAGATTCCCCTAGCCCGCAACCTCCCGATTAGAATGCCCTGCATACCATATATTGGGTCCACAACCTCCCACTTATATTACCCTGGACCACAACCTCCCAGTTGGAATGCCCCGGTCTGTTGACTGACGACACAAAGCAGCAGTCTCAACCCACATAACATGCCGACATATAATAAACAACAAGTATACTCAACAAACAAATAATCATACTACCAATAATCATAGGTGGTCATACAGTCCTACCATTCTAACACCTATTAGCAGCTATCATATAATCGTACAGGTCTACCGTGTGCTCAACATATCAATAATAGTATGGAACAGGTTATCAACCAATGTGTCGGCCATGGTGCCTTCGACCTACAAGTACAGTGAGGAAAACTAATTCTCCGTATGAAAATATCTCTGGCAAAACACAGCTCCAAATGACAGCTCGACTGGTCACCTAAGCACCAAATAATGACAAATCTCAAATATCACTCAAATTACCTATAATAACCTTGGGTCAAAATTGGTCAAACTCAACAAACCAACCGAGTCAACCCAACCTCATTTGCGGGGCGTACATAGATGTTTGCAGGGCGTACTTGCTCGTTGGCCAGGATACAGGAATTGACCGCATACACATGCCACACGACCTAGTACTCCCAATGTACACAACTAGATGCTTCCCAACTCATTAAGTGCTTAATACACAAACCCTTATGTCCAAATTACAGATCCAAGTCCCAAATATCATTCTTGACCATAAAGTATCCAACTTTATGTCTTGCATGACCATGAAGTTCTTAACACTAAAAACCCCAACATCTTAAGCCATTAAGACAATCATAGTCATGAATGGGGGAAGAGCCAAGAGTCAAGATCCTTTTATTTCTCTAGAACAAGAAAACATCCAAAAGGACAGTCCATGTTTTCTATAGCTTGCCATACACAAGAAGGTCGCATTTTGGGGACAAAACTCATAATATCATCATACCAATAAGATCTATCAAGTTAATCACCAAGGTATGAACTTTATACCTTTTGAAGATTGAGGATGAAGCAAAACTCACAGATCCAAACTTGCTTCTAGTTTCCAAGCTTCACCACCACCTTCTTCTTCCTTTGAAATGCACAACAAGACACTCTCAAGCTTCAATATGCAACAATGGTAGGGATGAGCATAGGCGGGTACCCGCTTCATTTGGCGAGAACCGGAACCGACGGTTCCTAGAAAGTTAGAACCGGAACCGCTCTAGGCAGTTCTTAAATGTTTGGAACCAGTCCCAGGAACCGACGGTTCCGGTTCCGGGAGCGGATAACCCGGTTACATTAATTTTCTTAACTTTGGTCGATAAAACCGCAATTTAGTGCGATCCAAATCATATCAATTCAAACCAAAGACGGACAAAATCGGATCAATATATATTCTAAATCGGTCTAAGTAACACACATATTTATATAAAATTATATATATATATACCGGTTTCAGCGGGTACCCAGCGGGTAGCGGTTCCGAAAAAACGAGAACCGGAACCGTTTAAGGCGGTTCCATAACTTTAGGAAAAGGAACTGGAATCACCTTAACCGAGAGTTCCGAGGCGGTTCTGGTTCTAAAAGCGGGTACTCGGTTCCAATGCTCATCCCTAAACAATGGGGCTAGGGTTTGTAAGGGTAACGTTTCTAGTGATGGATGTTGTAGATGGGATAGGGAAATCCGACGTAAGGTTCCATATATAGGGTCCAAACTGTAAGGATTAGTGTTTATGTCCAGACGAAGTACACCCATCTTACTTAGAGTTCGATTAGGGTACTCCCAAAACGTCATCGTTCCACCTCAAGCCCATTACGCCTAGTGTACCATCCAATTACTCCCCGCATAAGGCCCAAAATTCCAAAATTTACAATTTGAAGGGTTAGAAGGGAAACTTACCAGGACTCAAGTGTAACACACTACAATCGACTCAAATAGATAATAGTAATATATATTATGTCATCACTAAGCTCGATTCAAATGGGTAATAGTGGTATATTATGCCATCACTACATTCAACTCATAATAATGGTATATTATGTCATCACTACGCTCGACTCAAACAGATAATAGTAGCATGTTATGTCGTCACTACGCTCGATTCAAACAGATAAAGTGGTATGTTATGCCGTCATTACGCTAACTCAAACAGATAATAGTGTATATTAGGTCATCACTATGCTCGATCTAAATGGATAATAGTACTATATTATGCTATCACTACGCTCGATAAAAACGAATAATAGCATTATATTTTGTCGTCACTCAGCTCTAATAATGACTATATTGCCACTCCACCAGTTTGGCTTTGCTAAGGATATACATTTAAAATTATTATATATTAGTTATACAATGAAACATCGAAACTCTAGTTACTTCATAAGTATACAGTTATATAAGTGAGGATTGGACTATATCCAACTAACCTGCATTGAGTTCATTCTTGGATAGACTGCTCTTAAAAGCACTCATTTTCTTAAATATACTCCTAAGTGGTGGACATATATATATATATATATATATATATATATATATATATATATATATATATATATATATATATATATATATATATATATATATATATATATATATGATGAATAATAATTATACAAATCCTAATATCCATGAATAGTAAGCACACTATATTCAATCAAGAAAACAAAATACTTCTACAACTTAATCAAGTTATGAATCAAGAGTATTTTCAAAGTATAAGAACATGTGAACTCGCCAACACTATGTTGACCTTTCAAAACCACATATATTCCTAGGAAACCAATCAATGGAAGATCGCACTCCCAAAAGCAACACTTAATCGATGAAACTACCTGAGACTTATTATTGTTATAGATCTGCTAAGGTACCTTGTGCATTAGAATTTCTAGTATTTCAGAAACATATTCTGATGTAATAATTTTATTCATAATGGAAGTGATATATATATATATATATATATATATATATATATATATATATATATATATATATATATATATTGTTTTGTATTGTTCAATGTATGTTCAATATCTGTGATCTGACATTCTAATGTCGCATAACTCGATGTTACCGCCGCCGGCTAAGGGTGTGCCATGTGACTAAATGATTTCATATGCCACACTTTATCGTAAATGAATGTCACTAAAAAGTAACAACTAATCACATCATTTACAAAATGTGTGTTGCTATTAGTAATATTCATCAATGATTTTAACAATTATGTCTCACTAATACTCAACCAATTGCCACATTTTTGTCTTTATCAATTTTTTTATGTGATTAAATGATATCATACGGTACACTTTAACATAAATTAATGTGGCTAAATGATATCATATGTCACGCTTTAACATAAATTAATGTAACTAAATGGTAAGAAATAGTCACATCAAATATAAAATAACCATAGTTAAAAATAAATTCTTCTCACTTTATATGTGACTAAAATGTAGCTTATAGATGTACTTTTATGTTTTGTGTGTGTCAAAAAATAATAGAAAATAGCAAGCTAATAAATAAATTATTGTTGCCATAGAGGTTCCTAACGCTACTTAATTAATGAAAACTTGTGTCTAAAAAGTATTACGATCACATATTCGATAAAAGATTACATCTATACAAAATTGCCACGATACAGTTACAATTTTAAATGTTGAATTTTCAATGTGGCCATAAGATACCTATGGGGTCACGACATACGATCACAATTTTGATGAATTTTTTTTTTTTTTTTTTTGTGACCATAGGATACGATCACATTTTTAGGCTTTAAAAACTGTGGATGTTAGTCATATTTTTAGTGGTCACGCTTGAACCATTTTTTATCGGATGTAGGTTTGGAATAGCTAGTGATGAATTTACGTACACCGTATCTGCGACAATGAGTTTCAAACAACTCCCGACATGCATCATAGTTGAGCTCGTTAAGATCAAGGACGATAGGGATATATGTTTTGATGTTGATCATTCCCTAGGGTTATTGATTTGAGGGAGGGAGGAGGCACTCCTTCATGTCATTGTGATTGAGAGAAAGAGAGACAGATAGAAGGAGTGCGGAGGTTGCGTATGGTCACCGATGTGGATCGATGTAGAGAGGGCAAGAAAGAAAGTAGGTTTAAGTCTAATACCATGAAACAATGTAATTTTCCCATGAACGTATTCTCATTGCTAAAATAATATATACGTCATACAAGGTGTTGGGCTAAGCCAAGTAAATGGGCTAGACTAAATAACACAATTGGGCTATACTTATACAACAATAAATAAAAATAATAATTGTTTACCGATAGTGAATTGACCTCGAGCTACTGCTTCCATCGTTAAATCACAAAAAACGTCTTCACCTCATTATATAATTTCGTTTTTTACAGTTGTAATATAATATGTGGTTTTTTAAAATCTCAAATTGTATATATGGTGCCATTTTTTTGTTTGGCCACACCATGAACATCCTTAAAAGGTGTTTTTTAAGATCAATAAAACTAGGGATGAACATGGTATCGGACCGGTACCGATATGCAAATACCGAATATCGAAATTGGTGGAAAATCACTACAAAAAAACTAACCTTTAGCAGCGACAAAAGTCATCGCAATTGATCACGTCTGTCGTTGCTAATGGTATTAGCGACGACATGTCGTCACTAAAGCGACACCGCAATTGGCTTGTAGCTAATAGCCCTATGTCGTCTCTAATACACGTCGTTCCTAATACACCATTCCCGTCTCTAATAGTGTCGTCTCTATTAATATTCCGGCCACCGGCAGGAGTTTTTCCGGCAATACTCGCCAGAGGTCCTCGTCGTCGCAATTGATCGTAGTCGTCTCTAAAGGTGTCGCTGTTAATGTTTTTTTTTTTTTTTGAGAAAAAAATTATATATATATATATATATATATATATATATATATATATATATATATATATATATATATATATTATAAAATGCAGTTTTGATAAAAATACATAAATAAATATATACCACATTATATAAAAACATCAAACATACCATATTTCATAAACTATTTTCCAAACAAACATCAAACATACCATATCTAATAAATCTCAAGCAAACATCTAATATATATCATACATAAACTATTTTCCAGATCCAAAATAACATCCTCCATATCATAAAACAAGAAATACTAGTTGTCTTCGCCTTCCCACCGTCCTCTCCATCGTTGTTTTCCTCGTTGACTTGGTTTTTAAACGAGCGAATAATGTCTCCAATGGCCGTCACAAATGCCGGGTTTTGAAGAAAAGTATTCACATTAACATCCTACAATTAAGTTACAAACAAATTAAGTCATGAACAATTCAACAAACTATCAAACTATCAAAGCATCAATTCAATTAAATCTTTAACAATTTAACAAACTACCGAGCTACCAAAAATTACTACAAATACATTAAGTTCTTAACAATATAACAAAGCAACCAAATTCTTTAAGAATTTAACAAGTACCTGTGTTGGTTGCGATGCTTATGACTGTGATTGCTATTGGGATGGAATACTTGTACCCGCAGCTGAAAAAGCTTTAGGCCCAATGCCTCTCACATGCCCCCTTCGAGTACCCAACACCTTCTCAAATATTGCGATCCAATCAATGGTATCTGGATCACCACCAGAGTCGGCTATGTGATGAGTCTGTAGAGCAACCTCAACAACTAAGGCATTCTGTATTTCACAAAGATTGTTAATATATGTTAAAACTAACAAAAAAATTCAACAATCTACTTCATTTTTAAGTGATAATAACTTACATATTGCTCTTCAACCAAAGGATCAACAAATTCCCCTCTTTTATTTACATGTGCACCATGAAATACTTCAAGTCTATTCAAATTGTTTTTAACATTACAAAATATGTTATATTTGAATAAACATTAAAAAAATATGTTATAACATAATAAATATTATTGTAACTTATTTTCTTGAAACAAGCACTATCGTAGTTGCACGTCCCTCCACGATTCTTCACTACTTGCTTCTTTCGGAATTCTTTGTTTCCAGCGGATCGTTTTTCATGTTTTTCTGTTAAGAAATTGTCAATAGCAGCATTCCAACGCTGCTGATCCATACCCCTAGGGGCTTGAACCCTTGCTGCCTCCACATTCCCTGCAAAATCATCAAACCGGTTTTTTGCAATATTTTTGCGGCCTCTATATCGCGCACATATCTGATTGTTCAGTGATGCCCAATAAGTTGAAGCCATGGGATGATTTGTAATCGCGTCAAAATCAAACCATCTCTACAAAAAAAAATAGAGAAATTAAAAATAAATCAAAATTAAAAAATATTAAATATATAACTTTATAAATAATTTACCAAAAGATACTGCAACATTCCAATCCTTTCAGCTTTAGAAACCTCTGTCCATGTGTCTTTATGAAAACCGATGTCCCGCCACTTATGGCTCCCAACCTCCCGAATGAAACATTCGTACATCTCCCCAATCGGCATGTTAGTATTTACGCCGAATACTATCTTAAGAGGCCGTTCACCGTTAGCTTTATAGAGTTTGTGCATTTTTTTATTTACCGCCATAAAAAAAATATTAGTCAGGATAATTTTTTATATACATACAATGTGAAATACAATGAATTAGAATAAATTTTAATTACCATCGTTTTGGTGATCACCAAAACCTCCACCGAACGGATGTGGTGGCTCGTCACCACCGTCGCCTCCATGACCCATCACAGCAGCCATGAGATGGAGTAATGAAATCCAAAAAAATAACATCCTGAAAAATTATAACACAATATGAATACAATATGAATATATGTATAATGATTACAACAAATACAGACCTTATTTTACTAATTAAATGTAAAAAGATTTTTTTAATCATTCTCGCCCCAAAACACTTCAGTGTCTGCCGATACATCACTATCATAATCAGAATCTTCCTCATCATAATCAGTCTCGCAATCAGACACATTATTGATGATACTCATCGGTGGGTCAACTTCAATATCATCTTCAACCGATTGAGAATTTTGAAAGTACTGGCTAAAGTCAATTGAGAGAGTGAAATTAAAAGAAGCATTACAAAGAACGACATCGGTTGAATCATTGTCGACATTTTCAATGGGATCATGATCAACATCATTCATCGGTAGATCCCAAATTCTTCTATGATTAACATTTTCAACAACCCACCGTTAGGTGTCATTTTCATCACTTGGAGAAGGTTCTTGTATGTAAAATACTTGCTTGGCCTGCGTAGCAAATATGAGTTGATCTTCGCTGCTTAATTTGTGTTGTGGGTCGATACTGGTGAAATTATTATCAGATTTAACTCCTGCAGTATCGAACCACTTGCAATGAAAAAGTACGGTGGAATATTTTTGAGGATAATGCAACTTGATAATCTCTTCTAGCTAACCATAATATTTCTGCTTATTCTCTCCCTCAGTTAGAACCCTCGAGTTTTGTGTTGATCGTTGGGCGTCACGCATAAGTACCATATACCTAACACCATTCACTATGCAAGCGGTGTAAGTAAAGGCATGCGTATGCACACTGATTGAAAGAGCCGATAACTCCTTATTAAACTCTGTAGATTTTTGTTTTTGCATATCATAGATGTAACGCCCGTAGATCCGGGCTAATCAATTTAGAGATAATAGGGGTCGAAAATGACTTTTCGACAAAATATTATTTAGAATAAATAATCTTAACCAAGATGTAGAATATTTCTCAAGGATTCCGTACATATAAAGAACGCCAAAATCTGAGTTATAACAAAGAAGTTATGGCTCGTCGAAGTTTTATGGCAAAACCGACACGGCACCGGGCGACATAAATAGTGAATTTACGATAGAGGAATTTTTGGCCTTAGTAATCTAAATAAAAGTCTTAGAATATGTTAACCTGAGAGCATCCATAAGAAGAACGCCCAAATCTGACTTCGTATGGGGAAGTTATGGTTTTTCTAAGATTCAGCTTAGCAGTGCACAGCTCGAAACTCGAATTTTAGATCGAGCGGTTTTTGGCCTATGCGACCTAAATGAGAATTGAATATATCATTAATTGGAACTCAATAGTAAAAAGACGAACAAAAACAGTGTCTGTATGTAGAAGTTATGAATTTTACGCGGACATTTAACAGTATAATCTCCTCGTACTGTTAAATTTAAGATCAGTCGAGAATTAGCCGATGGAGTCAAAATTAAAGCTGTAGATATTATTTTTACCTACGCTTGGATATAAAGAACGTCAAAAATGGAGGTCGTATGTGAAAGTTAAAGATTTTAGAAGTCGGAAGTGTGCTATGCGAAATGGGTGATGTGACACAATCTTGACCATTGCTTTCTCCCCAAGTCTTGCCACTAGATGGTGACATGTGGCACCAAGTTCAACCATTTTCACCCTATAAATAGAACCTCTCCCACCCTCATTTTCTTCACACCTTTCCTATTCTTTCTTCTTTTTACTCTCTCTCTCTCTCTCTAAAACCTCTCTCTAGCCCCCGAAACCCCCAGAAAAGCCTAGGGAATCTCCCTAGCACGAGGCGGAAGCCCCAGAGTGCTCGAAGGCTCCGAGAAGAAGAGCTTTTCCGCACGGGAATGCTGCTCCAAGCAAAACCTGGTTTTCTATAAAACCCGCTGTAAGTGAGTTACGTCTACGTTATTTTTAATATAGCTTTTATTTAATTATAGTAACGTTATTAAGAACATATAATAAGTAATTGGGCTATTATTATGGATTATATAAGTATTATTTAACGCTTATATAATAATAATAATAATAATAGTTAGACTATTAATTAGTCTCGACGAATAATAAACTAAACTCTAGTGGTAATAATACTAGGTTTCGTCGAAGGAAAATATTTTTTTTCAAGAAGTGAAGCATTGTTTGAGTTCGGAATCACCACCTTTTCAAGTAAGTGCATAGTTACTTTCAGCTTACACATAGATATGAAGTATTTTATATAAATTATGTGTTGTGTTCATATTATCTGTATACTTGCTATCTATGTTGGATGACCGATTTTATACATTTTTTTAAAAATGATATAAACTGTATATGTATTCTATATCTAGAAAATGTGTTGGGTAAAACATGGGTAGATGTAATAATTGCTCTGTGACAAAATAAAATAATGAGAGGCCTCATTATAGATGGTATTGATGATCCAGTCATCTAGCGGAGTATAGATGACAACCACGGACTATTCTAGACAGTCCAGTGGAACGCTAGCAGGCTCACAACCTGTAGGTGATTATTTGAACTGTGTGTTTATTTGAACTGTGTGCTCACCAGGTGTACTCCATCCCCCACATGGTTGCCTTAAGGACATTTATTGCTGAGGAATCCTCTTAGCAGTAGTGTCCATCCCGATGAAAGTCCTTAGACTAGGTCCCTTCTATTAGATGTTTTAGGGATGTAAAGTGAGGATAACGGGAACGGGTAATCGGGTTTGTTTGGTTTGATAAAGTTAATAAACTTATTTATTGTGGGTTGAAAACCCTATGTACTCACCAGGTCTCCCAACCTGACCCACTCAGTTTATTTATATCACAGGTGTTGATATGAAGTCACATTACATTAAGATATTAAGGAGATATAAATCACTAGTGATAATGACTGTAAGTTCTGTTTAGTCTTATGTTTCTGTATTGACGATGACATCCTAAATGTTTTAAAATGAATAAAAATACTTTTCTTCGGATATGCTTTGAAAACGTATTTATCATGTTTTACTGGGACTAAATTTCGTAACATTTTTATTAAAGAGGTACTTTGATTTTTATAAAGCATAAAAAAAATCGGTCTTTTTTGGCCGTGAAAATGGGGATGTCACAATAGACCTTATGAAGGAACCATTTAGAGAATGCGGTTTTTTCATCACTTTCAGGATGTAATGATTTGAATTCACTACATTGATGAAATATATATATATATATATATATATATATATATATATATATATATATATATATATATATATATATATATATATATATATATATATATATATATATATAGTAAAATTGAGAAATTAAAAAAAAGATAATGAATTAAAAGATAAGAACACTTACGCAATATACTTTCCGACTTCCTCACAATTATCAAGCACAAACCAATGTAGACATTTTCTCTCCTCTAGACTGAGATTTTTCATTTTCCTTGCGTTAGTCGGTCGACACTTAGACTGAAACACCCATAACTTTGTTTCTTCTATGACAACATCCTCGTTTCTTTCAAGGCGATTGAATCGAGTCTCAACATCTTCAAGGTACATCGAACAAAATCATAATGCCTCTTCAGTGACATAACCCTCAGCTATAGAACCTTCCGGCCTCGCCTTGTTTCTAACATAGTTTTTTAGTTTTTTTCATATACCTTTCATAGGGATACATCCATCTCATACATACTGGGCCTCCAGAAATAGCTTCATCATGTAAATGCAAAACTAAATGAACCATAATGTCAAAAAACGCAGGAGGATAGATCATTTCTAATACATCCATCTTATTTTTTTAATAATGGCTGGTTTCGCTTCTTTCATATCCTTCACCGACAATGTTCTTGCACAAAGTTGCTTAAAAAACATACAAAGCTCTATTATTGTTGTATAAACACCTTTCCCCAAAATACCTTTAACTCCAATGGGTAACAAACGTTGCATAAGAATGTGATAATCATGAGATTTCATCCCAACAATGTTAGTATTGGTTTCATTCACTTTCTTACTGATGTTAGATCCAAACCCATATGGCAATTTCACATTGCTTATAAACTTACAAAAACGAATGAGGTCAAGTTTCGTGAATGAGTAAGGTGGATGGGGTTTATGGAACTTGTTGCCATTCTTTTTTCAACCATAGATTTTTCCGAATGTTCAGTTTTGTCAAGTCCACCTGAGCATTTGATGTGTCTTTAGACTTATCATTCATCAAAGAAGTACCCACAAGACTCTCACCCACATTTTTTTCAACATGCATAAGATCGAAGTTGTGCTTCAGCTCCATAGAAGACCAATACTCAAGTTCAAAGAATATGCTCTTTTTGGACCAATTCAACTCGAAATCCTCACAATCTCTATTAATACCATCTCGTTGAGAAGCTACTTTACCCGGTGGATAAAACAATAGACGAGCGTGTTGTGCTTGTATTTCTTCCTCACTAAATTGTCTTGGAGGACCTCTTGTCTCATGTTCACCATTATAGTCCAAACTTTTTCTCCATGGATGGTCAGCATCTAAGAACCGACGATGACCAACATATACGACTTTATTTGATACTCGGTATGGCGGAGTGTCTTCGTTGCAAGTCGGACAAGCTTTGTACCCTTGTCTGCTCCAACCGGATAAACTATTAAGAGCGGGAAAGTCGTTTATTGTCCATAACAACATCGCTTTCATATTGAAGAATGTATTTGTCATTGCATCTTTAGTACGTACTCCAAAACTCCATAACTGCTTCAACTCATCCACCAACGGCCTAAGGAACACATCCAAGTCCTTCTCGGGTGCTTTGGGGCCGGGAATCAACAAGGTCAACATGAAAGATGA